CTTTGTGTTCAATCACAGATGCTTACTGGGCACCCAGGAGCCTACCCAGCACCCACTGGGTGTGTACAAGAGGAAGGCAGGAGACCCACTCATGGCAGATACTGATGGTACTTGCATAGTGACCAGGGCATAAATAAACATAGGGAGCCACAGAATCCCAGAGCTAGGGTTCCGAATGCCATGGGGGAGGGGCACTCAGGGGGCTGGAAGGGGAAATCCAGAAAGAGGGACTGGATCCAGCACAGAGTGAAAATGTGAGACCTTCTGTACAGGAGCAGAGGCGGGGATGAACTGGAGAGGGGAAGGGAGAGGGGCTGGGAGGCTGCAATTATCCAGGCAGGGATCGGATATCGACAACAGCATTGTTGTTTTTTACTAAGAGATTTATTAAGAGTTGCTCTGTGCCCACACTGGGCCACGCCCTTTACACATAGTCATTTCACCTGCTCAGTAGTTGCTTGATCTAGCTAGAGTTATTATCTCCATCCTATAGATGAGGCACAGAGAGGTGAAATGGCTTGCCTAAGGTCACGCAGCTAGTATGTGGCACAGCCAGGAAGCAAATCCAGTGACCTGACCCTGAGCTGGGGCCCTCAGTGCCAAGCTCCAGGGCTTTGGGGCTGAGTGTGTTTGCTCGGTGACAGCTCCCTATGAGCATTCCTGAGAATACACTGAACACGAGTCCTCTAAAGGAGAAAATCTACCCCAGCTGGGCTTGGCAGGACGTGGGCGGCAGGAGTGCGGCTATTTTGGAGAAGCGACACGAAAAACCACGAAGCTTCCTACCTGTCCTGTTTTGCTCCCATCTGTCCTCGGAAACAAGGCTGCCCCTCTCTTAGATAAAAAGGTGTTTCTCCCCACACGGTGGCTCTGCTACTGGTGGTGGGAGAGAGAGTGCTAAGCTTAGCACTTGCGTGCTATTTTTAAAGGACTATATAAACAAACAGGGCTATGTAAATAAGAAAAAAATGAGGTCATCCTTTTAAAATCTAAAAGTGTCTCATTTCTATGGGGCAAGCAGCACAACCTCAGAAGAGACGGGCTTTTCTATCCCTGGGGGCTTCTCGAGCCTGCAGCATCGTGCCCCCAGGCATAGCTCTCTTCCTTGCACCCACAGAGGGAAGGGCAGGTGGCCCTGGAGTAGGGACTCCTGGGTTTCATTCCCAGTTCTGTGAGCTTTGCCTTGAATGCCGAAGGCCACCGACCGATCCCAGCCACCACTTTCTTGGGCTCTGAAACCTGACCCCATGCAGGTCATTCACAAACACTCCAGGCCCTCCTCCTGTGCCAGCCCAGCCCTTCTGTTGTCCCTCTCCCTTCTGCCTGTCCCATTCCTTGACCTGCTAAGTGGCTGCAAAGGCCCTTTGCATGTCTGTTAGAAGGGATGTGTATGCTCCCCGTTCCCTGCTTCTTTGCGCACATTTTAATCTTGCCCCATGCTCTTCTGCACCTTTTCTCCCAAGCTGATGGCTGGAAGTCATGAAAGCAGCCAGGGCAGCTGAGCTTAGGTCACTGACAGTAGCTGGGAGACATCCCAAGCCTCAGCAGAGGGTCATACGGCCTGTCTATGTTGCCCAAGTCCTGTTTCTACTCCTGTCCCCCCTCCTGGTGACCCCGCCATCTACAACATCACCTCACTTCCCCTGCACCCCCCCGCCACCCCACCATCTCTCCTACTTCCTCTTCGCCTCCAGACACAACTGTTGGCATCCTTGATTCCTCTGTTATCCCTTAGCACAAAAATGAGAGCCACCAATATTTGCTGAAGGGGTGGGGTGGTCTGCAAACTGTGTTCCACGGAGGGGTTTTGGAGGTTCTCCAAATGTTACATGAAAATTTGATTCTAAAAATACAGTTTGATTCCTATTGAAATTGTAACAGAAAGTGGCCATGTGAGTACAGTTAAACATGTTCTCTAGCCCTCTGGAACACACTGAGACCAGCTTCACTAGGGTCTGTGAGGACCTTAGATTAAGGTCTGGGGAGATCTTGAAACTCAGAATGAAATGTGTCTTTAGCTGGAAAGCCCGGCGCTCTCGACTGAGTGTCATTTGTTGTAGTTTTTAAAATTCAGGACTACGCACACATATAAAACCACATAAGCAAGTACACGCTGACGCTTTCAGTGATAAGAGAATGCATTACGTGGGTTATCACGAAAATATCACGAATGACTGTGGGGCTTCCTGTCTGACTCGTGTTTGTAATAGGAAGGAATTCAAGCAGTCATTTGCTATTGCCAGTGACACAAACCAGAATTCCCTTCTACTCCTCCCCAAAGGCCCAGATGACAACTGAAGCCCATCCTATGGCTGCCAAGGTAAGCTGTTAAAAATCTGCTCCCGTTCATATCACCTATTGACGTGATTTAGAATTCCTTAGTACTGTGCAGCCAAGTCAAACAAAACGAGAAAGAAAGAGAAATGTTAGATATTACAGCTCATAGAGAAATACAATGATCATCCAGAACACAGGTCAGCAAACTTCTTCTGTAAAGGGTCAAACAGTAAATAATTTTGACTCTGTGGGACAGTCTCAAGCAGCCACTGATAATGTGTAAACAAATGGCATGACTGTGTTCCAGTAATACTTTACAACATTAGGCAGCAACCTGGATTAGACCTAAGGTTTGCCAATCCCTGATTAAGAAGCTCAAATTTCAATGATTTTTGTGCCTCAGAGCAGAGGCATTGCTCTATTGATGGCCTTTCGTAACAAATAAATGTTAAAATTTTGAACTTTAAAAATAAATATGCAGCCGGGCTTGGTGGCTCAGCCTGTAATCTCGCGTCTTTGGGAGGCTGAGGTGAGTGGATTGCTTGAGCCCACGGGTTCGAGACCCACCTGGGCAGGCGAGACCTCATCTCTACAATAAATCAAAAAATTAGCCGGGTGTGGTAGCGCGCGCCTGTAATTCTGGCTACTCGGAAGGCTGAGGCGGAAGGATCGTCGGAGCCCAGCAGGTCGAGGCTGCGGTGGCCGGGAGCGGCCACTGCACTCCAGTCTGGGCAACAAAGTGAGACTCCAACCACCCCCCAAAAAATTAAAATAAATAAATAAATAAATAAATATGCATAAAATATCACTTTAGCCTGTTTTATATATTGACATTCTGGGTGAGATTTTAATTTTAAAGATGGCTTCTAAAAGTAAAAGCATTGCTGAGAAAATGCTTCCATATCCATTTTCAAATGAGATTTGTCCTCTTATTTGTCATTTAGAAATCACATTTCTTCTGGAGAAAGCCCCAAGTCACGCCCCTTCTGAAGAGGGGCTGTGACTCCACATTTCCCGGCCCTTAAATGACTGCACATGTGGCCGTGCCCAAGCCTCAGATGGGGTTGATGGGCCTCTTACCTGCCCCAGCATGGGTGAGTTCGTGGTGCTGGACCCCTGTCAGCCTGGGCCTGTGCCCTCCACCTTGTTTGGATGCCATATATTATAGCCCCTACCTGGTGGCTAGGGTCACCATGCCAGCAGTGGCCACAATCGCCTGAACACTCCAGAAGCACTGAGTCAGCACTCCATTAATCACAGATGCTTTCTTCCCCAGGGAGAGCAAGGGAAGGGGGGTGGGAGCCTAACTTCTTGCTGGAAACTGACAGCTCATTTCCCTTGGGGCAAGTCTCATCCTCTACAGATTCTTCCATGCTGCTGGCAGAGTCACATGGACAGAAGGCTTGGACATGAAGCAGGGGGAGGGTAAATGTAGGTCTGCAGAGGCCCCTCCACTCGCACCCCTGGGACAGCTCCCCTGTGCATCCCTCACAGGGTTCTGTTTCTGGACTAGCTCAAGTGTCTATTGACCCCTCGTTGAATAAACCCAGACCCTGTCCTGTGACTGATCATGGAGAAGACCCATAAATGGCTGTGATGGGCACAGGAGGAAACAAGTGTTAAATCGAGGTACCAGGAGGTGTCCCAGGATGCTAAGCAAGCAGCCCATTGATTACAGTGCTATTGATTCCTGTGAACATTAGATGTTCCTGGGGGAGGGGTTATCCTTGAAGCTATCACTGCCTTTCTTCAGGAAGCATCTTGATGGAGAAGGGCTGGGGTCTTTTGTAGCCAGAAGTTCTGTCCTTTACTAATTGTGTGACTGTTTTTTTTGGTTTTTTTTTTTTTTGAGTTGGAGTCTCACTCTGTTGCCCAGGCTGGAGTGCGGTGGCACACTCACAGCCACCCCATGTTAACCTGCTGGACACCAGCAATCCTTCCACCTCAGGCTTCCCATGGCTACCACAGCTGGCTAATTTTTTTGACTTATTGTAGATGTGAGGTCTTTCCAAGTTGCCTGGGCTGGTCTCGAACTCGCCGGCTCAGGCAATCCACACACTTCAGCCTCCCAAAGTGCTGGGATTACAGGCTGAGCCACCAAGCCCGGCCTGTGTGACTGTTTTTAAATTACTGAACCTCTCTGTGCAGTTTCCTTATCTGCACAACAGGGGCAAGAGGACATCAGTGAGATTTGGGAAGGATGCAGACTTATCTGTAAAGTGCCAGGCCACTTGTGCAGCAGCATTGGTCCCCTTGCTTCACCCTGGCTCCAGCGACTCAACTGGGGCCTGAGGACCCACATCTCTGTCTCTAACTCCTGCAGTGCTTCTCTGACTAGGCAATGGATGGGCAGGGAGGTCTTTAGGCAAGGGCCATCATAGGAGGTAGAGAGAGAGAGTAGAGCCCTGGCTTACAGGAGGACACAGCTGGACTAGCCTGTGGTCCCTAAAGAGGAGGAGTTGTGTCCTCACCAGGACAGAATGGAAACTGACAGGATTGCATTTTGGGGGAGAGAGTGTGGGAAGCTCAAGGTGTCTACTCCTGACCAAGGAAGGTCAAGGACTTCCAGAACAGCTTTCACCGAAGCGCAAGGAAAGCAATGATGACGATGATGACCCTAATAACAGTAATGCATGTTCAAGAGGAAGAACATAAGCAAGCGAATGCAAGAAAGACCCACATGGCCCCCCTGTAAGCATACTCTGTGGGAGCCTGCTTCTCACCTGTGCTGAAGGCACCACTTCCGATGACCAAAACTGAAACGCTGTTCTCGTTGAAAGCCAGCGTTCATGTCCACTCCTGCGGCAGCCGCCCTCCTCCTAGGCACCGCTCTTCCCACTGGAGGGGAGGGCTTGCCTGGCCAGGACCTCCCGGGGCTCCTCCATGAACTAGGTTGAGGCCGCTGGGTTTGTGCCTCGAATCCTGCAGGGGATAATTGAAAAACAAGGTCAAAGAGTTTTCCTGGTCAGCTTCTGTAGACACAGAACACTCCTGCTGTGCCTGGCTCCCAATGCTTCCCAAGTTGCTTTTCTTGGACCCCCCTGCCTTGCACTCTTAACCTCTCTGAGCTTCTATTTCTTCATCAGTATGGTAGGCAGAACTCTAGATGCCCCTCAAGTCTTCCTGTTCCTCTGGCACTCAGGTCCTGCATAACCCCCAAGACAGTGAGTAGCATGGGTGAGAAGGTTATGTCATAGGGCGCAGCTAACTTTAAAACAGGGAGCTTATCCAGGTCTGACCTAATCATGAAAGCCCCTTAAAAACAGAGTTTTCTCTGGCTAGTTATAGAAGGAGAAGAAGCCAGAGAGATCAGAACTAGGAGAAGGATTTGCCACGTCCTCGCTGCCTAGGAGGTGGACAGAGTCTGCAAGTGGCCTCCAAGAATGGACAGCAACTCTAGTTGACAGCAAGCAGAAAGCAGGACCTCAGTCCTACCACTGCAGGGAGCTGGAGTATGTCAACCCCATGAATAAGCTTGGAAGCAGAATGTTCCCCAGAATCTCCAGACGAGAACTCAGGCCACCTACACCTGGATTCAGTCCTAAGCAGAGAATCCAGCCACTCCGTCCCAGACTTCTGACCTGCAGAACTGTGGGCTAACAAATGGGTGTTGTTCTAAGTTGGTAAGCTTGAGGTAATTTGTCACACAGCAAGAGAAAACTAACACAACCTGTAAAAGTGACTCATATCTGGGCATGGGTGAGAATAACATACAATAATAGACATAAGAGCACATTGTACTCCCCAAATAACCAAACAAAACAGCAAGTTCAGGGCCAAGGTAGGCTTGGCCAGGGCAGGAGCTCAACACTCATCCCTGAATGAATAGATGAATGAGTGAGTATCATTTTTAATAATCGACTTACCAGGCTGTTGTAAGGATCAAATAAGAAAAGACAGAGGAAGGTGCTTCATCAACTAGGTAGCCCGAGTTGTTTTAGTAGATGATGGCATGGCGTGTCATAGCCATGTCATGCTTTTAGAACGGTGCCATGGTTTGCTGCTCCAGGCAGTATGGTGGGATGTTTGAGGATGCAGCTTCAGGGCCAGGATACTTGGGTTCAAATTATGACCTCTACCTTCTACCTATGACCTCTACAGCTTTGGAAAGTTGCTTTGCCTTGCTTAGCCTGAAAATGGGGGCTAAGAAAGACGAATACCTCTCAAGGCCCTTATGAGTCAGGACGTGTTAAGGGTCTGGAACAGGCTTGACATGACCCATGCCGTTGCTCTGAATATTATCTCAGGGTGAAACCCAACAACCTGGGACTGGAGTAACGTGCACACAGGCACTGCCACCACTCTCCTCTTGGGCACTGTGCTTTTGATGAACATAGTCTTGGAAGAGTGTCTGGCAGCCACGCAACACTGCTGATTCCTACGAAACATGCAGGTCACTGAAGTCTGGCTGCTTCTCCTTCCTGCCATACCTGCTGCTGTTAAATCTAGTCAGCCCTGTCCTCCCCGCAGGGCAGCGCTGCCCGATCACATGGTGGAGAGCCTGACCTTGCTCTGTGGCTCTGTCTAGCCCAAACCATCCTAACTTCTTGCTACTCTGCAGGTCTCCATCATTTCTAGGTCTGATTCTGTGCCCCCCAGTGGATCAGTTACTAACCAAAATGGCGGCGCTCTTTTCCTTCCAGTGTAGAAACACTGGTTTTTCAGAATATGCTATTCTACAGAATTCACAAGTTCCCACCTCAGAGCCTTTGTTCAGGCAGTTTTTTCTGTGTGGAATGTTATTTTCCTCCTCCTATAACCATATCTACCTGGCCAAATCCTGCTCATGCCCTCAGAGGGCTCGGTTAAATCCCACCCAACTGGACCTAAGTTCTGACTCTCTAGAATACCAAAAACACATTTGCTATGCCTCTCTTAAGGTAAATAACAGTGTCTGCTGTACACAGAGACTCTGAGCTTACAGCCCTTCTAGGATGCAGGCAACTCAGGTGGGGTCAGTCTGACTCATTCCTGCAGCCCTAGTATGTGTCTCACACACAGGAAGCTCTTTAGCACCTAATTTGGTTGTTTGCCCATTTAACAGATACACATCTAGGGCCTATTTTGGGTCAGGCCAGGTTGTAGGTGCCAAGGATAAAAGATGGCAACGATTCAGTTCCTACCTTCAAGGGGGGAACAGTGGGGTAGTCAACTTTGATGGTGTTTGAATGTGTGTGTGTGTGTGTGTGTGTGTGTGAGAGGGAGAGAGAGAGAGAGAGACAGAGAGAGAGAGAGAGAGAGAGGATATTTTTTTTAAAAAGGGAATAATACTGGAAAAGACAGAGGACCACTCCCCAGATGTCCAGAATGTTCAAGAAGTTGCATGCTGTCCATAGGGTTGGAGGTGAGAGGAGGTGACAGTGGGTGAGGGAGAGCCTGGGCAGGGGCCAGAGCATGCGGGGATTGACAGATGAAGAGGCCTGGATGTGGCTGTGTGGTAGAGTGAGGGCATGGGATGGTTTTCGTCAGTGAGGTAATGTGGCCAGGGTTGGGGTGTGACTTAAGGAGAAAATGGGATCAGGTGGGAGAACAGGGACTTCTGCGGGAGGCACAGGTGTGAGGCTGGTGTCACCTCAACACCGACTGCTCCTGGGTTCTTCCTCCGTGGCAGGTCATAGAGCCACCCACCATACCTGTGTCCGGGTCACTGGAAAATGTCACACACACCTGAGGGTCTAGATGCCAAACTGAGCCCATTTGTCTACCTCTTCTCCCCCACATGCCACTGAAATAAAGAGAGAAATATACAAATAAGAACAGATCCATAGTAGTACCAGCTGGCCAGAAAGTCTGAGGGAAAACAGACAAGTGGGAGTGATAGGAAATCTAATCAGAGCTGGGCAGGGAGGGCCCACTTGCTCAACACCCTGGACTTCCCCAGAGGCATTACCTGTGGCAGAGTAGGCTGGAGAGAATTTCTGAAACCCAAGGAAGAAGAGTGAAACTTCTAGGCTTCCAGAGAGACTAATGTGGGAGCTGGGGGTGGGGGGCAGGGGAGGTCCTTAAAATAGAGATTACCTACCTGACACCCTACTGTCTTCAATTGTACAACTTTACTAGTCCAGAAGCATCCAGCCCTGGCAGATGGCTTGATTGCTCATCACAGAAACTTCCTGAAGGATCCAGCCACTCTTCAGTCAACGGCTGGTATCCTACGATTCTTTAAATCCCTCACTGCATGGCGTCCACAGTCCTGGTCTCTCAAGCTATATTCCTTACACAATCCTAACCAAGCCCCCATGTTGACCTTAAAGGACACTTCTGGTCCTCAGCAATCCCAACCTTACTCCCTCCTCCCAGACATGCCAAAACCCTGTGGAGGGTGTGCCCTCCGTTCTCCAGATGCATTACAAACTCAGCTTGGTCTTAGCAACAAATTGTGTTGATGGTGTCCAGGGAGATGGCATTTGGCAGTCTCCACCAAAATGCTGAGAATCAAACTGACAATGGACTTGATATTGTAGCATTAACTGCTAGAGGGCAACAGGGAAATGATCTCTGAGCTTTGAGGGGAAAGGGTTAAAACCCTTAGATCTATGACTCAGCCAAGTCTCAGAGCCAAAGAGAGAAGTACCAAAATAGTATGCCACCCACTTATCCTTTCTTAAAAAAATTACTCAAAGAATTACTCCATAGTAAGTCATTCAAGAAGGGGAAAGACAGGCTACACAAGAAACAGTGAGGAATAATAAAAGCAGAAAAATGGGTAGTCAGATCGAAGCAAATGGCGATAATCGTGATCTCATATTGTTGTAAATTAGGTATCATTTAATTATTGGCATTAATGGAGAAAATTTTTTTACAACTAATCATTTCTGGAAGAAAAATAAGAGGCAGCTCTTTTAAACCACAGTGTGTGGAGGGGAGGGGGAAAACACAGAAAATTCAGTTAATTAGTGTAACAAGAGTTAGGAAAGAAAAAAATTAAGCAGGAAAGAAAAAAGTATGATAAACAAAAGATGAAATATTAATAAGATGACAAAGGTAAGACTAAACATATTAATGACACAATAATGTGAATAAATTAAATTACCATATTTTAAGTTGAGAGACTGGACTGGGTAAAATTTTTTTAAAAACCCAGCCATATTCTGTCATTCTGCTTTTGTGTAAGTGGAATAACACACTTAAGACAAATTAGCAAAGAAAGATTGAAATCAAAGAAATGGATAAAAGACATTACAGGCAAAAAATACAAGAAAGTCAATATTAATGTAAAAATATTACATTAATATTACAAAATATTATAAAATGCAAACTATTAAATAAAGTGGGGCATTTTGTATCGCTAAAGGGTCTATTTTTCCATGAAAGCATTAAAATCATGAAAGGGTCTGTTTTTCCAAGAAAGCATTGAAATCTCATCTTGAACAACAGAACCACAAAATGTATACAGCAAGACACTCTTAGAACCACAAGGAAAAAGTAAAGAAAGAGCAGTAAATTTCTTGAACATTATCGCAAAATCTGATGGTACAAGTAAACTCCAATGAATACTACGAAGGATTTGAAGAGATAGTTAGTAAGCTTAACTTCATATATATTCAAGAAACAGAGAAAACATATTTTCCTCAAATGTCCTTGTATTATATTAGACAGCAAGAAAAAATTCCAGAAGGCACAAATGGTACGCTCCACAACCTCAATTCTTAATGAAATATAATTAGTAATCAACAAATAACAAAAATAAATATAAATAAGTAAACTATGCACATGACAATTTAAAAATGCTTTTCTTGAATCAAAGAGGACAGCAAAACTGAAATTTCAGGATAATTATAAATGTACATTGAGAACCCTGCTTTTTAAACTCTGTGGAATATAACCAAAGCTGCATCTAGAGGAAAATATAGACTCTACGTGCTTAAATAAATAAATAAGAAAGATTGAAACTAAATGAATTAACCACATAACTCAAGAAG